ATGGAGAATTCTTTGGTGCTATAAATATTCACATCAATTTTAAAATAAGATAGAAAGGAAAATATTTTTGGTAAATTTTGTTCCTCAATAAGTAGAGAATTATTAGGCTTGTTAGAGTCGCTATCAGAGATTCAGTTTTGGAGTCAGATGCGCATGTAATGTAAACAAGACAATTTCGTGTAGAACCTATTCAATGCAGAATCAGATTAAACAGTTCGTCAACGTCTTATCGTTACATTTCTTAGAAATCTGAATAATTTTTTCATCATACTTATAATTCTCTCAGATAAATAAGGTTGAATTTCAGGATGCAATTTCTAAAGGCATTTCGTCTGTTGTTCGTCCACACCTGTCATCTATTCATTGTCTTCTGATTTTAAACGAAGGTGACGATCATTTCGAATACAGTTATTGCACTTTATGCATTTCTCATTATTTTTATGAAATTGATCTTCGACCCATTCCCTCATCTAATAGAAGATGGAATGGAAAAAGAAAATGAACTATATTACTTAATGTGAAATGAATAAATTTTTCCGTTCATCAAATTTGCTAATGAAAAAATACGCAAGTAAAGTATGCACGAGTTATACTCTGTGCCACATATCATTTAGGTGACACAAAAAATGAATGTAAAGATTTGTCCATCAAGCCGAACCATATTTTCTGAGTTCGCGTCCGAAAAAAATTGCAAAATCTTACAGCAAAGGATGCATTTCGCCCTTTTTGTCCTGAAGATGTATTCTAATTCGAGAGAAGTATTGTATTGTAGAGGAAGTACTGTATGATGACAGTAAGATAACAAAGATTACTTCACATTGTTTCGCATAGCAAAAGGACCTCTTCTTTTGCTATTTCTAACCACTGAAATGCTTGATTTCTACTCATGAAGGTGCAAAGTAATTCATTGTTAATAAGTAACATAGTTTTCCGCTTTATGGCTCGATTCTATCCGGTGAATGATTAGAGGATGATAGAGTAGATAATAAATAAAGAATAGAGCAAAACTGATTAATCGATGAATCAAATCCATTCCATGTTAGATTTTACATCTTTAGTATAAAATAGTACGTTGGAAGAGATGTGATAACGGGCGGAAAATAATGTTCAAAAAGGCTGAAGGGCAATGGTGGAAGTATTAAAACATGAATTTGACTCCATCATTTTTCAACTTGAATTTACATATGCAAGAAAAGTGATTTAGTTTTATTTAGGGAATCTTTTGGATATCGCAATTATTGCTTTAATCAAAAATAATCCGTGAAACTGCTATATGATTTTGTTTATTTGCTGAAATGGTACGGATGATATTCGAATGTTTTCGAAATATTTTGTTTTTTTAGAAAAAAGCTATTTTACAAATCCTCTTGCAGGACTTAACATCAATCCTCAAAAGTCTTTCTTTCTATTTATGGTTTTGATTATAATAACACCTTTGGAGATTACCTCTATCTTGAGTAGTATTATCTCACAATTTGATCAACGTATATTCGAGTAACAAAATTATACATTAATTAATTGATAAAATTATAACTTAGTAAGGAAACTATTGTTATAACAATTTCAATAACTGATAAACAATTATAAGAACAAAAGAATTATCAAATATTGAATGTCATTAGATTTTTCCTAAAGGAAACAGCTATTGCAAGAGCCAAACGATAATTGAAATTAATATACACAAATTAGATCCCTAGCAAAAATTAATTAATTCCCGTTGAAGGATTATGGGATCAGAATCAGACTGGCGCATCCCATCACATATTATTCATCCTTCAAATTATTTTATCCTCATTTTTGGTTATCATTTCCTTAAGTAATCACATCTCGCTTCATTTATTATCTGATATCAAATTAGACGTTGAGTGAATTTTTGATTCTGTCACCAACTTTACTTTATTTGTTTATCATCTTACTGCTACTGATTTGATTAGAAGAAGAAACTGAATAATAGACATTATCATACATTCAAATGTTAAAAGATTAACCAAGTTAACCAACATAACAATATCCATTATTTTCCTGCCTGGATCAGAACGTAACATTTATTCGGTTTTTTCACTCTTTAATCGTTTCATTCTTTCTCTCTAACTGTTACTCATTGTCTTTTTTATTATATGAATTTTCTTGTGAAACTTATGCGGAATTTGTCCTTGAGTGTGTCACACTGCAAACAGTGAGATCAGTTTTTCGTTTTAATTCTGAAGAAAAATATGTCGGTGATTTAAAAAAAAAAAAAACTAAACGGAATTAAAGATAGAAAATGATCAACAGATATGATTTAATATTGGAATTAAAAATGTGAGAGAACGATATGCCAATACTTGAATTCGAGATAATTTCAGCAATTTTTCTGTACATAAATTAGAATAAGTAATTGAAAGTCCTCATTTGTACATGAAATGTTCAGTCAACATTCGATGGGAAACATCATTCAAACATCATCATGTTGATATTTGACATATTACCATTTGAATTTCTTATCAAGTATTTGAAAAGTTATATTCTAATAAAACAAATTGTACTGCGGATAGTCAATTTGCTGATCTTTTGAACATTCAATTTTTTGAGTTAGAAATATCAAGTTTAAAGACCACGCAAAATCAGATTTGGTAAACATAAATAGCCACAAATTGTCAATCATTTCTTTGTCAAAAGTGTTGCTCCAGTTCCACCAAAGTTTGCACCGATCATTTCTCCACCATAAAATGGTGACCTGAAAATGGTTGTCATAAGTCATCAACCAGCATCAAACATTATAAGTCATCGATTTGTTCATCAACCAAAATACTCCTATTTAATGAAATGCATGCAACAGTGAAGCTAAAAGATACCATTGTATTTTCCATTGCTCAAATCTTACAAATTTATGGAAGTGTAACTTACCATCCACCACTGAACGGTCTATATGTACTGTAATATGCACTACCGTAATATGGATAACCCCAACTATACGACTCCACATTAGTGCTTGCTAGTAAGACAATCAATAACGCCAATATGATCTTCATAGCTTCCATTAAAATGTGATAATTACCTAAAAAATGTTTATGTGTTTAAAAATGTTATAAAACGTCAAGCCATCGGATA